AAACTCTTTAAGGTAACCCTATATTATGTACTATAGATTCCCATTATGGCATCTTAAACGGCTTAAGTTACCTTAATAAGGTAACCCTATATTATGTACTATAGATTCCCATTATGGCATCTTAAACGGCTTAAGTTACCTTAATAAGGTAACCCTATTATGTACTATAGATTCCTAGTATGGCATCTTAAACCAAATCCCTTAAGCCAGAACCCAGTACAGTAGAAGCCCAAAAGTTGGAAACCCCATAGCCTCAATCCTTATGAGCAATGTATAGGGAATCCCAGCACTATTTGGCCTTCATCAGGTTTCCAACTTTCTGGGGTTTACTATAAAGCCTCAGTCCCCCGAAACCTTCAATCCAAGACCCTGAACCTGACTACACCCAGACTGTGGCTGTCTAGACACACTACCTAGATATCGTCGTGACCATCTAAACAGACAGAGTGGCAAGGCGGGTCGCTTGCACCATCTGGCTTCGGGGCTATGTCGATCAACCCTTAAAAGGCTTGTGTATTTACGGTGCTTGTTGAGTTATGCCTGTACTCAGGTGAGGGGTGCATGTGTGTGTGTGCATATGTGCATGTGCTCGTGGCGTGTGGAGGCTTTGACAGACGCACTGCGAGTTTTTGTGCCCAAGAAGCCACGGAGCTTCAAACCCGCTGTTGCCTTCCCTTGTAGTCCCCAACATCAGACGATGGTCTACTCCAAGACCGTATTGCAACTAATTATGAAGGTCCCTACTGCATCTTGGATGCTGTCAGGCTGGATGGATGAGCTGAAGCAGAAGAACATGTCCGTGTTCAACTTGAAGCCGCGCGCTTGCTTCAGGGTTTAGGGGTCGTGTGCCCAAATGTAATTTAACTGAGTTGGCGACTAGACACCCGAGGCCGTTAAGTTTGCGCTCTTGCTTTGTCAAGCATGTTTGGCGGATGGTCATCTTAGAGAGCTTCAGATGAAGACTGCCATAATTGCCATCACAGTATAGCTCGTCATCGTAAGGTATGCCCAAAACCCGATTCCAATTGTACACGGTCTTATATGTTGATCAGCTGTCTTATCGCATATCATATCCTGAGCCTTCAGCTGATTCGTTCCGATTCCCTCATCCCGAGTCCTCTGCTTCTTCGTTCCTAAAGCCGGGCTGGAATCCGGAAAAGGCTGAGGTTTGGAGCATTGCTCGGAGATCGCAAGAGGTTAGGGCTTCGGGCTTTCTAAGTTGAGGGTGTAGGGTTTGTAGGACTTCTATGTAGGATTTAGGGCTTCTGTTCAGGTCAGCTATGGTAGAAGTATTTTTGCAATATGAGATGATGCATTGCGGCGAAGAGAAAATCGACAAACTGCTGACTTCGAGCACCGTGCAGAGGCATTTTCAACACTTGCAAACCTTACACCCTCAGGCATGTCCGAGTTGCGACAGCGTAAACCACTGGATTGTCCGAGTGTGAGCGCCGAAACCAGAATCCCGACCCTAAGCAATGAGAACCCGGGGTCCTAAGACGTCTACTATAGGGGCCCTGAGCAATTAATACTATTCGGGGGTGGTTCCTTTGGTATAGCTACAGTATAGGGGGCCTCAAGACGCTAGTCGAATTATTAAGGCCCCTAAATACTAAATCCGTAGAATCGCCCTTATTGTAGCTCTGATATACCCCTTCAAAGGAACCCTATTCTAATGATTAAGGCCCCAGAACCGATATGAAACCCTTAAAAGGAACCCTACTCTAATTATTACGGCCCCTATACTACCGGCTCATTGAGGTCCCAGGCGAAGCGCTTTCAACGCAACGCTGCTTTTTCGGCCGCCGTGCGGGCCGGATCAAGGGCCATTTCGACGTTGGGGGGTGTAGGGTTTAGGGCTTGGGGTTCAGTGGTTTAGAGGCTTAGAGTTTTAGCTTTAAGCATTGGGGTTTAGGGGTTTAGTTAGGGTTTAGGGGGATTGAGCGGTTCATCAGTCCCGACCGGTGGGAGAAGTCGAGGCCTTGTCTCCCAGAACATGCTTGCGTCGAGGGACTCCAGGAAAACGACTCCTACACGGTTTAGGGTTTAGGGTTGGGTTTAGGGTTTAGGTTGTAGGACTCCTAGAGTCCAACACCAAGGATTCTAGCCAAGATTAGTCACGGTAGATTCCTTGCCGACGGGTTGCGGCGCTTTCCGCGTCCCTTGAACCCCTATAGACCTTACAGCAACCCTAAATGGAAAACTTGGAGCCAAAGTGTAGCTCTTTCTTCTCGAATTCCAGAGCCCCCAAGTTGCCTGAAGCCTGGAGACGCCGATGCATGCCCGAAACCAGTTTCTTCGGGCCTTAGGCTGCGGCATCCCCGCATTTAATCGACGCCCATCCGTTCTTCTTCAGTTCGACACGGAACGCTTCAAAAAAAACAGAGCACGAAGTGTAGGCCGGAGGCCCTGAGACATCTTTCCAACATCTCCAACCCGCCCGAAAGCCCTACTTTCTAAACCCAAACACTTAAACCGTGAAATACCAAGCCAACATCGCTAGCTAACTGTCTTTGGGTTCCCAAGTACAATCAAACGATACCAGAATGTACCCGAAACAACCCACACGGTCCGGGAGGTGTTGAATGCAGCTGTCGTGCCGCCTTTGCGGCTGGCATCGCTGCAGCGTGCATTGCTGAAGGCTCTTGGGGCTCTTTGAAACGGTCATCATCGTTTCGTATATCCAAAAACCCTTTGCTGTATGCCAGAACTGTGGTCCGACACCAGTCGCGAAATGCATCTCTCTGGCTTCATCGTGCTGCAGCCCTGTGTTCCAGTCATCCACAAGTCGTGGTCCTTCACACTCTTGAGCTTTGGCTTCTGCGCCCTTCGGGGTTGACACAGCTGCATATGCAGGCGTACGGGTGTCCGATGAAGACAAAACAAAGAAGAAACCAGGGAAGGGGTTAAGAAAGGAAGGAAGGAAAGAGTGGTGTGGGCTTCATCTGAACGCTTGGCAGTGCAGGTTTAGGGTGTTTCCCCAAGCCCAGTTGCAAACAAGTCGATTTGAGATGACTTGTGCTGCGGCGATTTGCGCAGAAGCCGCTTTATAACTCCAAGGTGCCGAGATTGGTATGAGCAAAGACGCCACCAGCAAGCCTAAATACTTACCGACACTAGTTGTGGGGTATTACAACTACAATGAACAATATCTCCAAAACGACACTTTCTAATTATTCAGGCCCCTATACTATAGATCCGGGAAGAAGTCGGACACGGCAGCAGACGAAGGGACCAAGCCATGGTTTTCGAGCTCGTCCAGGTGGTGAGAGTGATTTAATAAAGGTTTTGGAGGTTCAGGGTTTAGGCTGAGTATTGGAGACTGCAGCTACGGTTTGGGCTACGGGTCTAGGAAATCCCAAACAGAAACTACTGTCGCATGATGTCGCAGGCCTTTCGAAACACATAGTCCCTCTTGGAGCCTCTTGTTTGCTCGAATCCGAAGCCAGGGGGCTGTAGCCAGTTTGGCCCAACGAATTTTGGTGCATTATCCTCGCCCGTTTTCCCTAACTCCGCTCCCTGCGATCATGACCACCGCCGGTGTGTGGGATCCCAACCAACATGGCATTGACATGAAGCGCAACTGGGTTCTTTTTAACGGGTCTATTTTCAGTCACCATAATAGGGATCTATGGTAAATAATATGGTGTCCGTATTATGGTAGCCTAAAGTAAATCCCTTCACAAGAACCCAGGCAAGTCCTCCTTCTCGCTGCTGGACCAGATCAAGCGGCCCATGGACGGTGCAGACGAGAATCCCGACCAGAAGGAAAAGATGGAGACTAGGTAGGCATTTAGGACATGTGCCTCTTTCCTTTTTGAACTTAAGACGATCTTGTTAAAGATGGAGACTAGGTAGGCCTGTGGTATATTTTCCTTTTCCCTTATTAACTTGCTGGGCTGAAGAAGATCTTCTTTATGCGAATCTTTTGAGAGGCTTTGTAAAGTGGGCCAGCCGAGGAGAAGCTTTGGAAGCTGATGGAGACCTATGAGCCGAACGATCCAGAGTCCATCCAGAAGTCTTTCGCGAGGCATTTGGAGTACTCCTTGGCCTGCACGCGCTTCAACTTCACCATGCAGGATGCCTACACCCCAAACCCTAAACCCTATAAACCCTAAACCTTAAACCCTAAACCCTATAAACCCTAAACCTTATAAACCTTAAACCTAAACCTGAAACCCCAAACCCTCTACCCTATGTAAACTCTAAACCTTACACCCTATAAACCCTACATCTCAAAATCCTAAACCCTATAAACCCTGAACCTTAATTAAACCCTAACTCCTATAAGTCCTCAACCTGAAACCCTAAGCCCGAAAAAATCCTAAACCTTCGCCCCATGCAGGATGCCTACCGAGCAGCTGGTTTGGTGCTCCGGGATCGACTCTTGGAGTCGTTGAACGATACCAATGCCTACTACAGGAAGATGGATGTGAAGCGGGGATACTTGGCTCTTGTTAAGGAGTTAAGTCTAAGTTACTATGATAGGGGATCTATAGGGGAAAAATGTGGTTTTCCTTCTTATGGTAACTCAAAATGAATTCCTTAACAAGAGCCCAGGATACTACCTGTCTGCCGAATACCTGATCGGAAGACACATGCAGAATGCGATTGCGAACCTCGATCTGGAGCAGCCCTTCAAGGAGGCCTTTCACGCACTCGGCATGCAGCTGGAGGACCTTTTCCACGAGGAGGTGGACCCGGCGCTGGGCAACGGTGGCTTGGGCCGTCTTGCCGCATGCTTCCTCGACTCCATGGCAACTTTGTCGCTGCCTTGCTGGGGCTACGGCATCCGATACAGCTATGGCATGTTCAAGCAGGACATCCAGAATGGCCGTCAGGTGGAGATGCCCGATTTCTGGATTGGCGATGGCTGCCCCTTCGAGATTCCTCGGCCGGACATCACCTACCCAGTGCGGCTTTATGGCGAAGTTCAGGAGGGCCTTAATGCCAGCGGTGAGTGGTGCTTGAACTGGGTTGGTGGCGATATCGTCCAGGCCATGGCATACGACAATCCCATTCCTGGCTTCGACACCTACAACACCAACAATCTCCGATTGTGGCGCGCTTGCCCTTCGAAGGAGTTCGATCTTGACCAGTACAGCGCGGCGAACTTCACCGATGCCGTGGAGGCACGCCGAAAGGCAGAGGACCTGTCTGCTGTCCTCTACCCGAACGACGCGAGCTACGAGGGCAGGGAGCTCCGCTTGAGGCAGCAGTACTTCTTCGTAAGTGCTTCGCTGCAGGATTTGCTGCGCGAGTTCATCAAGCGTCCCAACTACAAGTGGTCGGAACTGCCGGAGAAGGTGGCGGTGCAGATGAATGACACCCACCCGACCATTGCTGTGGCGGAGTTCATGCGCTTGCTGGTTGATGTGATGCATGTGCCTTGGGATGAGGCCTGGGATCTGACCACGAAGTGCCTGAACTACACCAACCACACCGTGATGCCCGAGGCGCTGGAGAAGTGGCCGGTCGAGATGATGACCCGCATGCTGCCCCGTCATGTCCAGATCATTGGCGAGCTGAACCTCCGATGGATTAATGGTCTGGTGAAGAAGTACGGCGACGGGCCCATCATCGCAGCTTTGAGCATTTTTGAAGAGGGCGATGTCAAGAAGATCCGCATGGGCAACCTCGCCATCATGGGGTCCAACAAGGTGAACGGCGTCGCCGCGCTTCACACAGAGATCATTAAGAAGGAGACCTTCCCTGACTTCTACAAGTACTGCTGCGATACCGGCGTCCCGGACAAGATCGTGAACATGACCAACGGTGTGACGCCCCGGCGTTGGGTGCACTGCGCCAACCCGGCCTTAAGTGCCATCTTCACCAAGTATCTTGGCTCCCACGAGTGGCTGACGGACATGACGAAGCTGAAGGGCATGCTGAAGTTCAAGGAGGATCCGAAGCTGCACTCCGAGTGGATGGAGATGAAGAAGACCGCCAAGAAGAAGCTTGCAGGCTTCTTGAAGGAGGCGCTGGACCTGGACATCGACCAGGATGCACTTATCGACATCCAAATCAAGCGCATCCACGAGTACAAGCGGCAGTTTATGAACTGCCTCTATGTCATCCACCGTTACCAGCAGCTGAAGAAGATGTCGCCCGCTGAGCGTGAGAAGGTGCAGAAGCGCGTGGTTCTGATCGGTGGCAAGGCAGCATCCGCCTACGTGAATGCAAAGCTCATCATCAAGCTGATCAACAACGTGGGCAAGGTCATCAACAACGATCCAGACACTGGCAAACTCCTGAAGCTTGCTTTTGTGCCGAACTACCGTGTGTCTGCAGCCGAAGTCCTGATCCCAGCTTCGGACATCTCGGAGCACATTTCTACTGCAGGCACGGAGGCAAGCGGAACCTCCAACATGAAGTTTGTCATGAACGGTGGCCTGATTGTTGGTACCATGGATGGTGCCAACATTGAAATTCGTGAGGAGTGTGGTGAAGACACCATGTTCATCTTTGGCTGTTTGGAGCATGAGGTTGCCGGCATTGCAGCAAAGGCGAAGGAGGGTCACTACCCGATCGACAGCCGACTGCAAGCCGTTTTCCAGGCAATTCGCAACGGTGAGTTCTCCAAGGGTGAGCCAGAGGCGCATGCCGAGTTTTGCTCGCTGGTTGACAAGCTCTGCAACACGCACGGTGCAGGCACCTGGGATGGTGACAGGTACCTGGTTGTCCATGACTTTCCCTCGTTCGTGGAGGCTCAGGCAAAAGTGGACGCAACCTACGCGGATAAAGCCAAGTGGTGCAAGCTCAGCATCCAGGCGGCCTCCTCCATGGCGAAGTTCTCCACTGATCGAACTATCTCGGAGTATGCCGACGTGATCTGGGGCGTCAAGCCTGCACCGCGTCCCATGGAGATGTGAGGTGCCTGGTACCGCATATTTTTGGGCTGCGGGGGTGGCGACCGGTCAAGGGGAGATCCTGTGGCTCGCCGTCTTAACCCGAAAAGAAGGCCCGATCTCATTTTAATCACCGAACTCTTTGCTCCAGGCACAGATCAATGATCAATGGCTAGTTAGTGTGCAGTAGCAATCAGTGTCCCAGTGAGACAACCCAGAACTTGCTTGTTGTTTTGTATCGCCTTACCACCCGTGCCCGGTTGCAGCATCGGCAGCCAACCGAAACAGGTAAGCAGAAGCCTGCTCAGGTCGCTGTCGTATTGATTTCCGTTCTCAGACACACCAACTCTTTAGAAACCTTTCTGCTCGCGACGGAGTCCGAGTAGGAGTCGTTCCGAGCTCAGCAGGCTAGCCTGTTCTCGCATCCCGCGTGGTGAAGAGCCATCAAAAACCTTTGGGGGGTTGTTTTCCTTTGCTTTGCTGTTCATTGCATATAGGTTAAATTGCGCTAGGTACCCCGTTGATGCTGGCTTGTAGGCTTCTAGCTTCTCCTGAAGTACGAACTCTCACAGTGACACCTCGTCTGGCTTGTCCGACTTGCGAGAGCGTCAACCGCTGCGGCTAGGTAGGAGGCAGCAAGCCCCAAAACCCTGAAGCCATAAACCCCAAACCACTTAAGCTGTGAAGCTCGTAAGCCTCGAAGCCAAAAACTAGGTGGAGCATTGGGACACTTCTTTCATGTCCGGAATTTTCTTACGATCCTATGGAGCTTTTGGCATGTTTTGGGGGGGCCCTTTAAAATAGAACCCATTATAATCACATAATTAAAAAAACCGACCTACGACTTGACCTACCTAAAACTGCCATGACCCACCGTTTTGCAGAATCCTTTTGCTTCACTGCCTTGGATTCTGTGAAACAGTATTTCGGGATCGGTTTAGGGTTTAGGGTTTCCTCATCATTGACGTCATTTTCTAAGGCCTTAAGGTAGGTGGTTGTAGGTCAAGAAAAGCCTACGCCAACTGAACCCTAAACATTTGGGGGTCTTGTCAAAACAACGCACATCCTTTGTTCTTCCAGCCTACTGCCTCCGCTAGGGACCCCTGGAGACAAAGCAAAGCTTCAACCCTGCCGTGCCTTACATCAGCTATGAGTTCCAAGGATTGCCCCTGAACTACAAAACCTGACTCCTGTTGAAGAGGGCCCAAACCCGAAACCCTAAACCCGTAAACCTTTAAACCCTAATAACCAAGTCAAACCCTAAACCCGTGAACCTGTAAACCCTAATAGCCAAGTCAAACCCGAAACCCCTAACCCTTAAGCCCTAAACCCTAAACTCTAAAACAAAACCCTTAAGCCCTAAAAACCAAGTCAAACACGCAACCCGAAACCCTGGACCGACCCGTAGTTGGCAGGCGCAGCAAGCAGAGCTTCCAGAGGGCGATATCGCCGAGGCTGCGGATCTTCAATCCCGCGGCCCGGTTGCAGAAGCTGAGATGGTTGAGGGTTGAGGGCCGAGTTTTAGGTACTGCAAGGTTTACTGAGGCTTGAGCATATAGATGTATCGGGGTTTTGGCTGGGGTTGTGGGCTTTCCATAAGTTCAAGGGTTTTGGGGTTCACTGGCTCAGGGTTCATGTAGGGCTTCGAGTTTGTAGGGGGGGGGGCTGAGTTTGGAGTGGATACGAGTGTGCTCCCCAAAGAGTTTCTTCCAGGGAGGGGACCTGAGTCAGTAGACTGGGTTTAGGGTGTCGGGCGAGGTTCCAAAGCGCCGGTTGAAGCCACCAACCAGGTAGTGCCAGGCAGCCACCAGAAAGTCATGATCGTACTGAAGATCTCAATATTGCCATTACTAGCAGCAGCAAAATCTAAGTTTGTCTTTCCTGTTGGTTTTTCAGGATGTTCAAAGAATCTAAGAACAACTTTGACATAGCGGTAAGTTGGTAAGGATGCCAAGTAAGAGTGATCGTCTTCCTGGTTCGCTACCGCATTTATAGTGCAAAGCGCTGCCAATCAGTTTTGCTGTCTGTTTACGCAGGCTTCGAAAGTACCTGCAGCGAGGTGTCGAAGACACCGTCCACAATTTGCGCGATGCCATGGAGACTCGAGATCTTTTCGAGGTGGCGAAGGGCATCGATGTACCTCGGCCTGATTCAAAGTGCCTGTGTTTATAGGGTCTATAGGGTCTGCATTATGATTGATACGACTTCGCCCTGTGGTTACTGGGTTCCAAACGCAGGTTTCTGCACTTTGGGCTTAAAGTGTCTTTTTGTGGCAATTTATGGGATCCACTGACAAAACAAGGCTGAGGGGTTGCAGTAGCTCTCCAAGCACCAGGCCTTCGTGATTCACCCCTGACATTACTGGAAGTATGACGACATGCTACAACAAAAGCAACAACAGCAACAACAACAACAACAGCAGCTTCTTTTTCTTTTTCCACAACAACAACAACAGCAGCAGCAGCAACAATAACAACAACAACACCAACACCACCACCACCACCACCACCACCACCAACAACACCACCATCACCACCACCAACAACAACAACAATAATAACAACAACAACAACAACAACAACAACAACAACAACAACAACAACAACAACATCAACAGCAACAACAGCAACACCACCACCACCACCACCACCACCAACAACAACAACAACAGCAGCAACAACAACAACAACAACAACAACAACAGCAACAGCAACACCAACACCAACAACACCAACAGCAACAACAACAACAACAGTAACAACGAGATCAACAACCACAACAACAACAACCACAGCAACCTCAACCGCAACCAAAACAACACAAGCTGCAGCTACAACAGCAAAAAACAACAGCAACAGCAGCAGCAACAACGACAACACACCGACAACGACGACGACAATGCCGCTACCACCGCCTGCGCCAATGCCACTGCCAATCCCACGCCAACGACGACGACAACGAAAACCTGCACAACCACAACCACAACAACAGCAACAACGTGTACTGCACAATCCTCCACAAGCCGATTCTTGATGTTACCGTGCCAAGGGTCGACTTAGTCTTTCCGTCTCGACTTCATGTTTGTTTAGCTCTGGGCTTTGCTGCGCTGACTGCTGGCAGGAGATGAAGGCGATGGAGGTCGAGGAGCGATTTGGGCTTAGACAGGCTAGCATAGGGTTGAGTATTTTAGGGTCTTTTTGTCTTGAGGGTTTAGGGCTGTTTAGGGCTCGCATGGGGCTTAGGCTTTGTTGGGTTTCGGATTTACGGTTCAGGCGTTCAGGGTGGACCTAGTGGTTTTCGGTTGGCCCTGTTGATGTAGGCCAGCCCCCAATAGGCATGCACGGACAAGGGGGATTATGACCAAGTAAACCCTACTCACTGCCGGCACTGATCCTTGTCCCACACGCCTGGCCCGTCATTATACGAGCCACGTCGTAAATGTCCCATCATCATGACTCATGACCATCCAAACCGACAATAAAACCAGAATTGCGAGGGCCTGAAAGTCCGAGGTCCCCAAATTCCCAAAATTCTGCCAGATTTCTCAGCCCCAGAAAATCCCTGAGCCCTGAGACTCCCAAATTTTTTCAGCCTGTCCACTGCGAGGATGACCTCCTCGAGTCGTCGGAGGTTGGGGGCGTTCGAGCGAACGGGAGGGGGGGAGTGGGGCGACGGCATTCTTCAGTGCATATGCTTTCTGCTTCTTCTAACCATTGATATTGGGGGAGCTAAGGAGCCAGGGATCATGATAGTTCCTGTTAAATACGGAGCTACAGAGCCAAGGGAACCCCCACCACCACTGGCGAGTCTGTTTGTTCAAGCCAGTGTTGATCTTTCATTTGGTTGGTGAACCTCGGAGCAGATATGCCGTGGGTTTATGGTTTTCGTTTTAAGAGCCTCAGGACTTCTTAGGGTATTTGGCTTAGGGTGATAGGGTTCTAGAGTTTTGCGGATGGGGAAGTAGAAATTGATTTCTAGGAGCTTAGGGGGGCTCCCTATAATGCCTTGGTGTGGGCAACCGTAGAATGAGCTATCCAGAACTAGGTGGCAATTTAGGAGGCTTTTTAATTTCCCTTATGGTTCCTATAGAGGTACCTATTCATAAACACTTTTCAGAACCTCAAAACTACAACCCAGAGAAACAAAAGTATCACATAGTCGATCTGGGTGGTCGTGCACAAACCTCGCTTCTCGTCTCTCCACGACGTTCGACATGCCGTTAAGGAAGCCGCAGGCCTCTGAAGCCCACGAACCAACCCGAAAGCTAATTAAGGACAAATATGTATATATATATATATATATATATATATACATATGTAGATGTACATGTACATACATGCCTAATGTATACCTTCTGCTAGAGTATGCCGCCCTAACCCTACTGTATACATATACTAGACCCTTATGTTACACGTAGCAGACCCCTATGTTACACCCTTCTAGTGCCAGGCGGAGATTGCCAACCTGGCAAACCGTGTTGACCGTGCTGCTGCTGCCAAAGACCTCGTTCGGGACCCGGTTTATCGGTCATAGTTTAGGACTGCAGTCCCTAAACCCTAAACCCTAAAGCCAGGGTTCATGTTTGTTGGGTTTGAAGGGCTTCTGAAGTTTTTAGGTTCGGAGGCTTTGCGCTTTGAGGCATTCGTGTCTTCGGCTTGGCTGTGGTGGGTGGACAGCCCGGACATCGTCAGCAGGGATGGACCCTCTGGAGTTCTAGCGTTTCAGGATCTGGCCTCGACTAACCCAGCTCCAAAAGCATGCATGGCAAAGTGGAGCTGCGTTCTAAGCATTTGCTCGTTGTGTTTGGAACACAAATGACACAAATCTCGTGTTTGATCCCCATGGAGAGCCGATAACGTTGGTTTCTGTGGGTGCGGTTCGTACGCAAGTTTAGATGTTGCAAATTGCTTGCAGGCACTGTTTTTGGAATCCAACCCGTGTACAGCAGTCTACCCCATAAAGTTGGAAACTGGGTCAAGGCCAAATAGTGCTGGGATTCCCTATACATTACTCTTAAGGATGGA